CGGCGGTGCGGAGGAGTTCCGCCTCGTTGGCCGAATGCTTCTGGTGCTCGACGAGCTGCAGGAGCTCCGGCGGGAAATGGATGCGCTTCCGCATCGCCTTGCCGTTCTCTTTCGCGACGTCGAACGTGGGGCGGCCGTTCTGGTCCAGGACGTCGGCGCCGTGCTCGTCGCGGCACCGGACGCGCACCGCGCCGCAGTCGACGGCGAGGAGCGGCAGCCACGGGTATTGCAGCTCGATGCCGTAGGCGATGCGGTAGTGCGCCGTCACGGTCCGCGGCTTGCCGCCCTTGTCGAAGGATTCCGAGTCGGCCGTCGCGTAGGTGCCGCTCGGGTCGAAGAGCTTCCGCGCCAGCTGGATGATCTCCGGGGGCCCCGCCCAGCGCGACCCGCGGTTCACCTCGCAGAGCTTCTTCTTGAGGAGGTCGTGGAGCTTTTTGATCTCGTCCGGCACCAGCTTCTCGGGCCGGTTGCCGCGCAGGCCGAAGAGCCCGAGCATGAGCTCCGCGACGTTGACCGACTTGATGGTGAGGCGCGCCATCAGGTCGTAGTTGACGCAGAGGCCCGCGTCGAGCCGCGACGCCGTGAGCGCGACGCCGACGCGGAGCTCGCAGCCGAGCTCGACGAGCCGCCGCGCGAGCTCGTCGTCGACTCGGCCGTACTTGTTGAGGGGCTGGACCGCGCGGGCGCCGACGAACTCGCCGCCGCCGAGCGCGTGGAAGCCGCCGCGCTCGAACTGGGCCCGGAGCGCGATGTCGATCATCGCGAGGCCCGAGCCGCGCCCGAGGCCCGCCTCCTCGAGCCAGCCCTCGAGGGGCGCGGAGCGCAGTTCGCGCAATTCGACGCAGACCCGCCGGCCGCCGGGCGCCGGCGCCGCGACGACGAAGGACCCGGCGCGCCGGCCCGGCTCCCAAACCTTGGGCAGCTGTTTCCCGCCGGACCGTTGCGAACGAATCGTGTTCGGACGGTCGTTTCGTGCTTCCGACGCGTGGCAGAAATCCCGATTTTCGTCGAAAATCGCCGCTTCGACGATCGTTCTGTGCTGCCGACGCATAGGTTTGGTTCTCCTGCGAAAATGGCTTCATTCCACGGACTTTTATTTTTCACAGTTCCCTACGTCGATTTCAACTTGACGGCCGCCGTTTGGAAAATCAGCTCCTCGAAGAGCCA